ATATATATATATATATATATATATATATATATATATATATATATATATTATTATTTTTTTTTATTTATTTATATATTTATATTATATAAATCTCATGTTAATACAAACCGAAATCTTAATCTAATTTTGAGGAAAGGCACTTCTTTTAAACTGTTCCTCAAGGATTTCCGAATCAAATCTGGGATTCCACCAGGATCGTGGTGCTGCTCGTTCAAATGGTACAGGTAAACTGATACCGCAACATCCCAATCCTTGGCTACTGTGCGCCAGATATGTTTGTATGTATGGTGCCAGAGATATGTGAATCTCATCCTCAGCATCTTCGCTATTGTTTTTTGCTCGGGTAAAGCTGACAGATGAGCCACGTTTTCGATTCAATTGAGGAGTCATGTCGACAATCTAATAGAATTAAAAAAATCTCAATAGAATTTTAGAAAGTATTATTAAAATAATAATAAAATAAGACAAATCTCAAATATTAATTAAGAATAGAAAAATTATTTGAAAAGTTTAATAATTCTAAAAGTAACTTAATTTAAAAAATATGTATACTGTTGGTAAATTTGATAAAATAATCAATATCTCCTTATATATTATAAAAATAATTCACATTTTTGTAAAATCAATATAAATATATTTTTCTTATATATTCTCTATATAAAATAGAGATTAAAGAAAACATAAATGCTACATGTATCCATAATGTTATTCTATTTTTAAATATCATTTATAAATAGTATGCAACTTGAACTATTGACATATGTGTTATCATTCTATTGCAACTACAATAAGCAGCTGCTGCTAATAATACCACGCATAATGTTATTTAATGATGACACTATTGACAAAGACTCACAATTCTTTAATTCATATGCCCTTTTGTTCTTAAGTGATACATCATTGTGACAAGAACATATAATAATTTAAATAATTTAAATTCACAGACAGAAAATTTACGTAATATCTAAAAAGATATGCGTTTAATATATACTCCGAAGCAATTTCAAAGTTTTTAATAATAAGAAATGCATAAGAAAAATGAGAATTTTTGTTATTTTATATGACACGACTCCTTGCACGTGTTAACGACAATCAAGATATTTCGAAATAAATATTTTTTAGCGAATTTTTCCATCACAAGTGCATTTTACGTATGGAAGAATGCGAAATTGGACGCGACATACAGAATTGTCAATTTTGATATCAACTCGCACATTATTCTCTTAATGGCACGACACGCAAAAAGTTTGGAAGTAACAGCACGACTCACGCAATGAAATCTACTTACCGCCATTTGATTCACGTTGATCAAGGGCGAGAACGCCAGAGAATTTGAGAAATCATCATTTTCCTCGCTGACATTGGAGGTATTCGTGAGAATCAGCTAGTGTCGCAGGACGCCATTTTTTCGCGGCTCTTCAGTGATGCGTCGCGGGTTGCGGGTAGACCTCGGTAAGGTCGACGCCGAGAAACACTCGTGAATGACTTGTCGCGAGTATGAAAAAAGAAAGAAAGGGGGGGGGGAAAGAGCGAAAGAATCACGCGTTTTCGTCAGAATGTTCTCCGCTATGACGTTCCGCAGCCATCTTGGATCCGTCAGCGGAGACGACGGCTGGACGGTGTCTAACAACTCTTCCACGAAAAGTCAAAGGTTAGATGGAGATCTATTACTAAACTTAACAAATTCTAAAACTTTATAAAAAAAAATAATAATAATCTAGGATACGTTCTGTTAGATGTGTTACAAATATTCTTCCTAACTATAAGTTGGTAACTTGCTAACTTTGCGGACTTTTCAGCTACAGACAGATCAATGCAGATTTAGTTATATTCGATGTTTTCATAGCAATAGATACAAGAGTCTGGTTATATCATCTATTATTTTTTTATTTTTATTTTTTACTTTGTTTTTTACTGAATGCTAAATAAGGATAAACGTTTAATTTATGTCGATTTGTTGAAAAACTCATTGGCTGCATTCAACAGAAGCTATGTTCCAAAATTTATTGTCAGCATTGATAATGTATAATAGACGTCACATGAATTATAGATTTTCAGTACTGGTAGTAAATTTTAAAGCGTGATCTACAATGAGCAGTAGCAGTGGATGAATCGTAAGTCGTAAGAAATAAGGCATATTCTTTTTGGTTAAACTGATTGTACTAGTACAGTTTATCTTTTTTTCTTACACTGGGAGAAGAAAGATAAACTCTGAAGTAATGGAGCCAGTCAGCTAAAAAGAACAGACTCATTGATCAATTACAGTCGAGTGTGAGGATATAGTTATCCTATTGGTTGAAATGTTATCTTAAGACCATCTTAAATGTAAGAACTGACTGTGAATACCGGCCTTACTGCTTAAATTTTTTTATGTGCCAGAGCCCAAAGCAATATACTTTTATATATATATAATATATATACTTTTTTTTAAGACGAAACACTGAATTGCTAAAGTCCCGATCTACAATAGATAATTTAAGCCTTAAGCCATAAGAAATGGACAAACCATAGTCGAAGAATAGGAGAATAATCGATTATGGCCGATATTCACAGTCGAATCTTATATTTAAGATTGCTTTAAGTATTATCTTAAAAGATTATCAACCAATCACAGAGCTGTATTAGCATCTTGATACATTACTTAAGACAGTCTTAAAATAAGAATCAATTATGATTACCGACCTATGATTGGTCAATTTCTTATGGCTTAAGGCTTAAATCACCTATTGTAGACCAGGACTTACTGCACTAGGCTGCACTAACTTTCTATCTTATTTTTGTCAAATTTCAAATATATATCTATTTCACTTTAAATATGAGTGCACATCAATTAGAAAACTAAAAAAGAAGCCACTTATCTTTCGATTAGAAAAAAAGAGAGAAAAAAAGAGAACGGGCATGTTAAGCGCTAAAAAGAACAGACTTAATATGTATTTCATTTTTTATAAATACGTATGAGATATAATAAATTATGAAAAACAAATCTAATACTAGCGCGTCCGCAAAGTTTCGTCCGCATATAAACTCGATAGAGTAATGATATGAAATGCCAATCAACATGAAAATAATTGTATTTTCACGCTCGCGAGATTGATTATCGTATACAATGATCTTGCTGATGTCGATGGACACTTGCAAATGTTCGGAGTCGATATACGCGCAATCGGAATATGACGGCTCCAACATTCGCCGATTGGATTAAAATCAGATCGTCGATCCTTCGTCAGGTTATCGTCGTTGCCGTCATTGCCATTATCGATATGATAGCATCGTGATAACCGGGAAGAACCCGTCGATCATCGCGGATGTGCGGCGCCGTTGCGCGACCGGCAGTCGTCTTGCATACGTGGCAGAGGCCTCGCACCAATCAAACAAGCCGACGGTCGATAGGCGTGGCTTGCGGCACCTAGTACAGCTCGCTCCATGTCCGGCCGCCATAGTACTTGAGGGAATCGAGTCGCGTGCGTGTATTTTCTGCTTCGTCGCGTTTACCTTCTCTCTCTCTCTCTCTTCTCTCTCTCTCTCTCACACACCCATTTACACTCGCTCGTTCGTTTCGTCGTACACGACATACCCAGCCGTGCCGTCCGCAGCAAGGAACGCGCCGATCCACGACGATCCTTGCCCACTGTTCACGCGTCCGTCGCAACATCGCGATACTTGGAATCCACGGGGATAAACATCCTCGGTAAGTGGCCACGGCGATGATGCGCGTGCGAAACTCGCCGGGGCGAGCACGGCATGCCGGTCACACCGTAACACCGTTAAACGTGTCGACACATCGAATTCCGCCGGTTGGCTACGTGACACGCCGCCGTCAGTCAATCCTCATGATATGTCGATGACCTGTGATTCATAATCCATATGCCGTCCTCCAAATCGGTCGCGATTACACCGCAACCCTGATATTTCCGCACGGGCCGTTCACCGTAATTCTTCGGCGTTTCATCCCCGCTCTCGCTCGTACGCTCGACTTGCATACGTATACACCGTCCACCGTTATCTGGGACCCCCATTAGGATGCCTCGAGGATAAATTCTCTTAGTGCCCTCTTAGCAACCAATTTGCTCTGCTTTTCGAATCGAAATTTTTGCGCGAAGCGTGATTCGTAATCATTATTGTGCTTGCGACTTCTGCATTTTTCTCTAATTCTCTAAAAATACTTTAAATAGAACGATTTTTTGTATTTTTGCTTATTCACTAATATCTAAACAAAAAAAATATATATGAATCAGTAATGTTTTTTATCTTGTGATAATTAATATTAAAATCTCCAAACTTTTAGTAAGTTTAGTAAGTTTAGTAAGTTTAAAGTGGCGAATAGCCATGTATCCAAAATTTTCAAATCAACAGTATACTATACAGATAAGAGAATATCTTCAAAGTAAAGGAAATATTATCTATATATCACAACTGATGAGTGATAATTTATCTCATATTATTACTTAGAATGTCAAATGTTTTATAGGTAAAATAATCAAAGATGGATGTTCAGACAGGACTTATATACGTCGGCATTGTTGTCATCTCTGCTGTAGCTATCCTCTGCATTTCAATGTTTGGTATAAAAGAGAAATCTTATGAAGAAGCAATTGCCGAACAGAGAAAACTTCCCGATGATCTGTTGTCAAGTATGTCAATTTTCAAGATTTTTATCTATAAAATCAAATTTGATGAATTATTTTGATATGTACAAAATAATTAAATATAGAACATAAATTGAAAACTATATGAATGCAAGAGTAGAAAATCAATATAAATTAAGTTATATTAAATTCTGTAAGAAAAGAATATTATATCTTTCAATAAATATTTTTATTAACCTTACAGATAAAAAGGATAAGAATAAAGAAAAGAAGCACAAGAATAAAGCAGGAAAGAAGGTGAAAGAGAAGAAAGAAGAAAAAGATGATAAAGAAGATAAGGAGGATAAAGATGAAAGAACGGAGCATGTACAATTTGAAGAAACTCCTCAAATATTGCCACCTGAGCCACCAGTACAGGTAAATTTTTTAATTTATTAATTTTTTCGTTTTATTAATAAGCCTATGCAATTAGCCTACAAGAATCAAGATATATGGATTCTAAACTCTTTAATACAAAGAAAAGGAATATAAAAATCTAATTACTGGATAGATGTATATATGTCTTTATTTAATTTTAATTTAAAGTACGAATCCATACAGAGTATACAGTAGAAATTTCAGATTATTCACTCTTCTTGTTAATGGACTTATTTTCTATTGTCTTGTTATTATCTTGTTATTGTCAAGATTAGATTTATTGTTATCAAATCAAACTATTTTTAAATATTATAACAATGATGAATGAAAAAAGTAGGCAATAAAGCCTTTTGTAATTTTCTAATATGAGACACAATTGCGTT